GAAAGTATCCGTAGCTGGGCAATGCCTCTGGCCTATCCAGAGGACTTCACCCATGAAGATAACACAAAACCAATGAGGGGAGCTGGTTCATGCCCTCCTTCCACATTGGCCAAGGGCAGCAGTGGGAGGCTAAGGCAGGTTCTCTGAGCTCCCAGGGCACAGGGTCTGCATCATAAGATCCAAATAAGGACCTCAGGATGCAGCTCTGGAGCAAGAGTGTTGCAGCTGATGTTCCTTCTCACCACCAGTGCCATGGGCCCCAGACAAGCTCATCTCTATGTGGGTCTGGCACAGCACTTATGTCATAAGACACGAGAGAACTCAATAAAATAATTTATGTAAAGTTCTTATCACATGCTTGAAATTCAGTACAAGTTGTCTATTGTAAATTTTATGGCAATAAAAATATGGTTTATCATCCAGATGCTTCTCAAATTGTAATGAGGTTGCATCTCAGTAAGTCCCTGATGAAAATATCTTAAACTGGAAATGCATGTGATACACCCAACAGGCCAAACATCACAGCTTCACACCACAGCACGATAGCATCTCAGCTGTGTCCCCTTGTGACCGAGTGGCTACCTGGTAACTGTGGCTTGCTGCTACTGCCTGTCATCATGAAAGAGGACTGGACCCTACGTTGCTAGCCCAGGAAAAGTTCCAACTTTAAAATCATAGTGCAGTTTCTACTGCATGTGCAACCCTTCTACACTATCGTAAAGTGAAAAATGTTAAGTCAAGCCAGGTTAAGTCAGGCCTTTAGGAGACCTTTGAGATCCAAGTGGTAACACTTAGTTCATCTATAATAGGCACTAATGACTGACACAAACCATTGCAGAGTGTACATTCATGGACCTAGCCCTGGCATCCGGCAGGTCCTCCATGAATAGCTCAGTGACTTTTTTCCTCATGGAAAGCTGGAATCCTCAAGACTCTGCCCTTCTCCTTTATGTCTCACCTTTTTCCTTCTGTGTGTGTGCTGAGCACAATATCTGCCTGGTGTCTAGTTTATAATGCAAAAGCAATTTTCCTACAGTAGCCACAGATTTCAGGGAACCATCTAGAATAGGCCCAGTACCACCACAGAGTCACCTTTAAAAGCAGAGCATCTGATGTTCACATATTGGGCCAGGCTCTTGGGGTGCTGGGGAAAGAGCTGCAGTCTCTCAGCATGGCTTCTGCTCACTGGTTCCTCTTTAGTTTTGTTTATTTGGCATCGGACATAGAGTAGGTGCTCAATAAAGGAGAAACCGAGGGAGCTCCAAAAAGAGGAATAACAGGGAAGGAGGAAGAGGAGGGAAAGAGAAATGAAAACCAATCTGGGTACCAGAAGTTCCCTGGGAAGAGATCCGGGGCTCAGATGGTGGGCGCAGCTGCTTGGGGGTCAAGTCTGGGCAGGAGGGCACATACATCCCAGGACCATGGAACAGGCAAGACAAAGACAGTAGTAACCCAGTAGGTTGCCAGCTGGGTGCTGTGCTGCCCTCAGGGAGGAGTCAACTCTGAGGAAGAGTATGACCCAAGACCAGAGGTGGAATGTTGTCCCACAGGCAGTGGGGAGCCACAGAGGGTCCACCCTTGGGAAGGAGGAGCCACTAGAGGAGTGGTGATTCAACAAGAAAACTCAGGGTGGCATGTGCACGGGACATGGTGACAGGAGCTGCTGAGTCTGTTGGAAGAACCCAGGCAGTGAGGTCGTGGGCTTGGACTGTAGTGCAAGGAACGGAGAAGAAAGGATGGGTCTGACAGAATGCAGAGAGGGTGAAGCGCCCTCTCTGTGCTGGATCGGTTGTGGCCATGAGGGGTGCTGTGCACACTCCAGGTGGAACCCCGCCTCCTGGCAGGTCACAGTCAGTATGCACAGAATAAGCAAATGCTGTCCAGTGATGTCCTCAAGGTCACCTATAAGAGGTCACAGAAAATGATTCCGGGCTCATTCATGTTTCACATCCTTGGAGTAGGAAAGAAATTGTCATAAGAAGCCAGGGAGCAAGGGAAAGGGGCAGGAGGCTTCTTTTGCAATGACCAACATCGCAGGCTTCAAAACGTGCTCCCAAGAACCCTTGGCAGGGACGGCCCTGAGGTCAGTGAGAGCAGCAGGGTCCTCCCCTCCGCCTTCTCTTCCCCACAGCACCCCAACTCTAGCCTACTCCACACACCCACTAACTGAGTGTTGCACTCAGCAGTCCAGGGCCTGCCTAGGCTGTACCACAGCTGGCTTTCAGCCCCGGCACTGCAGGGGAAAAATACATCAGTCTGAAAGAGCGCACCTGGTTTAAAAGAAAAAGTGATACTGGTGGCTTAATCATAATGCACAAAAATTAAAATTAGAAAGAAAAGGAAAGTTGTCAATTATAATACTCACCACCACCACCCCCAAGAAACTTACTCATTGTGTTCCCTGGGTGGAGACAATCCTGAGTATTTGACCCTAGTCCCCCCCAAAACATTCTTTCCGTAGAAAGTCCAGCAGAGCTGAACCCTGAAGACTTAGGGTGTCACTGTGGGCTCTGCCCATTGGCGGCACTGCTCCACCCCAAGCCCTCTCCTGTCCCCTGCTCCACCCCTGCTTCCAGCCCCACATATTATTCCAGGAGATCTGGGCCTATACCTACTCCTGCTTCTGATCCCCTCCAACGTGGCACTGTGACCACTCAGAGCCCACCTCTGTGGCAATGACATCGAGGCCACATCCATTGGGCCCTCCTCCCAGCCCTGTGGTGTCCTCTGGAGCCGGGTTTCCATGGCAACAGTCCAGGACTCACCAGGGATGCCTCCCACACCCTGATTCCCAGGTAACATCACCCGGTATCTCCGGTCCTCCCACCAAGAGGAAGCAGGGTGGGGGCAAGGCGAGCGGGACAGTCACCCATCCCTAAGAAGGAACGGTTGGGAGGCCTCCAGGCACTACTTGCTTTAGGGCCTTCTCATTATGGCCCCTTCAGCTCCGCAGCTGACAACCTGATAATTCTCTCTGATAGTGCAATGTTTGGTGGCTACTGCAGCTGCTTTGACACTGTCCTTCCCAGAAAGATTTTGAGATAAAAGAACTGCTGTGGCATCATCATTAGAGCTGGGAGAGGAGGCCCAGGGGAAGGGTCGTCTCTCCTCTCCTCCTCTCCCTCCCCTTCCTCTTTCTCTCTTGCTCCTCTTCCTCCTCTACCTCTTACACACCTTTATTCCTCCCCAGCTCCCTTTCTCTCTAATCCCCTCCTTCCTCTCCCCTTCCTCTTCTCTCATCCCTTCCCTCCTTTTCTCTCTCTTGTTTTGCTGCCAGAAACAGTCTAATTACAACAGAAAACTTGAAGAGACAGGGAGAGAGAGAGAGAAAATCCACCACACAGAGCTGATTAAAATGTCCTATGAAATCTAATTTGTAAAGCTCAAATCAGAATAAAAAGTGTTACTCCCACAATTCAAGGCCAATTTGATTTTTAATGAGCCTCCTCAGAGACGCAGCCAGGCCTCCTCAGGCTGTGAACCCAGCCACCTGCCTGCAGCCCAGGCTCTGCATGGAGCTGCACTGCTGCTCTTGGGGGACCCCTCTGCTGATGCCCCAGCTCCCTTCCTAGGGAACCTGCTGCTGGACACTCTGCCCTGTGCGTGGACTGGCCTGGAACTTTTGCCCCACATGAGCAGCTGCTGGCGTCCAGGACCTCTATGGTTCCAGCAGAGAGCGGAGAGGCTGCGGCAGCATCAGGTCCACCACGTTCCAGATTCCAGGTCCCATGTCCGTATCTACAAGGCAGGGAGGGCTCAGAACTCAGCTGTAACCTTTGGGAGGGAGGGTGCTGTGCTCTCTGAGCCAGGTTTCTCTGTTATAAAACAGGTCTAGTTCCTCCCTGAAGTATATAAAATGGCCTGAAGAGGGATTATGCCAAGCACTGACCACTCTGCATGCCGGAAACTTGGTGAATGTCAGTGTCCTGTCATCCTGTGGCCTCTCAGGGAGTGTGAACTTTGTCACCACCCATCTTAGCAGCTTGAGCCACCAGGACTAGGCCTCAAGATCTGCATGCACACTGCCCAGTGGGTGAGACCTTGGCGCTTAAGGCCAGGAAGATGTGGATTCCCAGCCTCATCTGCAACTAGGGAGCCTCCTGGGTGATTCACTCAGCCCCTGAGCCCTGTATCCTAACCCCTGTAGGGCGGGGCTGGCATCACCCAGAGTGCTCTTACTGTCACACCCACTCTAAGGGCACAGAACCCAGGAATGCCAAGCCACTCACTAGCAACCCTCCTGTTACTTTTTCTCACCTCCTGGTGCCTTGCCCCCAAAATGGGGATAAATATAATGCCTGCTATTTTTAGGTTGCTGTGAGTATGAAAACATTAATGAGCTAATATTCAAAAACCTTAGCCCAGAGCCTGGCATCTTGTTCACACCATGAGGGTGTTGGTTTAATAAAACATGAACTAATAGCTGGGATGGTCCCCATGTCTGGGTCGGGGGCAGACAGCAGTCATGGGCCCACAGATGACCCCCCAGGGAGGATGAGGAGGGCCTGCTGTAGCAAAGGAAGGGACCAGAAGATGCAGCACAACCCAGCCAGCAGCTCCCTCCAGCGCATCTGTCACTCTGCCCCACCACCCACACTCCTGGACCAGCTCTAGGCCCAACCTGCAGCCACTAAAACCATACTCTGATGCCTTGTGTCCCCAGATTTGACTAAAACCACCTAAGTGGAATTCAGTAGGAGTTCACCCAAGGAAAAAGCAGGATCATATCCCAGGGTGGCAGGGTGGCCTCTTGGGGGTTGGGTGTGGTTGGTCCCCAGTGTTAGTGATACGGACTGATGAGCAGAGGGGCTAGGGTTAGGAACCAGCCCTGAACCAGGATGAAGCTGAGGGTGAAAGTCTCCAGCCAAAGTGGCAGAGTCGGGCACAACGGGGAGGCCTGGTCACCTGGTCCAGCCTCAGCTCTGCCTCCAGAAGCTGAGAGGAGCCCATGGGCGCTGCTCCCAGCACGGAACTTACTGCTGTGCTTGTCTCCTTCCTAGGCCAAGTCTACTCCTTCAGCCAGCAGCCCCAGGACCAGGTGGTGGTGTCCGGACAGCCGGTGACGTTGCTGTGTGCCATCCCTGAATACGATGGCTTCGTTCTGTGGATCAAAGACGGCTTGGCTCTGGGTGTAGGCAGAGACCTGTCAAGTGAGTACTTCCAAACCTCCCCAGGCAGGCCCAGGGCTCACCCACCCAGCCGCCTCCCTAGAAATGGTGTTTGGAGACCAAACCTCCAGCTTTCCCTGCAGCTCCCAGGCAGAGGCAAGCTAGGTCTAGAATCCCAGAGCTCAAGGGCCTCTGGTTTCAAGAAGTGGATCACAAGTAAACCCTCTATTCCAGTGGTGAGTCCTACACCCAGCACAAGGTCACACTGGAGAAGTCAAACACAATTTACCTAAAGTCTGGTTTCCAGCTTTGTTTCTTGGCCCATAATGTAGCCCTCATTGATCCAGGTATGATCCAGCTTCTCACCCAATAAGGGAGCCAAGTAAACTAATAACTCATGAAAAGATCTGGCTGACTATAGGGGTCATCTTATCATGGGAAGAAAAGAAAATATAGGAGGTGTCCACAGTAAACATATAAATGCCCTGGTTGGTGTCAGGTGTTAACTATTGTACATGGCTACCCTGTACAACCCTGCAAACCCCTTTCCAATCCATCCTTCCCCAGGAGAAAAGAGGAAGGAACCATCCTCCTGGTCAGCCATGACTCCTCCGCCCTCAGGCAAATATATACAAGGCTGCTAAGCTTGGCATAAATGGCACAGTTCAGAAGGGCAGGTCTGGTGTCCTTCTCTGGCGATTTGGGAATGGCTGGGGGAGGAGGAGTGAAAAATATGTATTCAACTGAGAAGTAGCTTTGCCTCGTTCATGGTGTACAGCTGCAGGAAAATAAAAATCGAAGTGCACTCAGGAACGTGATGGCTGGGAAATTAATATTTTAAAATGTGAGTTATGTCTTGCCAAAAATGTATATTGAAACATTATAGCAATGGTCAATAGCAGTCACAGGGTTTGAATACTGCAGCCCAGCTGAGCATGGATAAAATACACGATAATATCTCCAAAATATACTGTGCTGCCATAAAGTTTAAGTGCTATGGGAACCAGCCAATTTCAGAGACTCTGAACTTCCTTACCCTAGAGAAACAGGGAGAACATCACAACCTTCCCAAATGAGATTTGCTCAGGCTTTGGGTGGCTCTAAACTTGGCCTGGCGCTGTTGCTAGTTAGGGAGGCTATCGCATTCCTAGTTAGTTGCTCTCAGTCTTCAGTCAGGAACAGGGGTCTTGCTAGGTTAGTGGCCCAGAGGCAGTCCCAGGTCACCAGGGACAGTTCACAGAGTGGTCATCGTGGCATGGATAACTGCTCATAAATGGCTTCTGGGATCTAGGATTGGAGCCTATTCCATGCTTAAAAACAAAAAACAAACAAACAAAAGACCATGGGGCTCTGTTGAACTGGGACCTGCTTCCTCTCCAGCTCGACTCCAGTTACAGCAGGAAAGTGAGCCCTCTTCCTGCACAGCCAATAAGCCCAAGCTCCTGGTAAATGTTGACTCTGTAGTTGGTCACTTGTCCCCTAAATGCCATCTGGACAATCATGATGGGTACTTGTAGACTCAATAAATGCTGCTCGCTTGGCTGATAAGGGAGGGAGCATACTCGGTGCAACTCAGCAAGTATTTGCAGGACACTTAAGTGAGAACACTTTCCTGCAGGGAAACTGAGGCCCACTGTTGCAAGACCTCACCTGCTGCAGCTCTGTCCTTTTCCATTTCAACTGTGTCACCCCACTGAGTCTACCAGGAATGATGCCCTCACTAAGGAATGTTAAATGTTCCTCTGGTCACCGAGACTGGAAACACCAGTCAGAGAAAATGATTTATAAATATGCTCCCTCAAATGGATAGAACACTTTTCTCCTAAGAAGCACAAATACTTTTCAGATATTATCTCATAAATCTGCAATCATCTGGAGGGAGAAAAGGATTTTCCCTTTATTTGACAGGTAAACAAAGTCACAGTCAGGGAAGAAATCGACTCAACTAGATAACTAATCCCAATGCACGGGACTCTGTCTGCCAGCTCCAAATGGTGCCTGTGCCCCAGCTGTTCTCCCTTCCAGAAACAGAGCCCTCCACCTTTATTAAGTTGGCGTTTACAGACTACTGCCTGTGCCAGACACTTTTTGTAGGTTATCCTATCCAGTCTTCACCTGTGAGCTACTAGCATTGCCTCCATTTTACCAATAAGGAGACTGAAGCACAAGAATTTAAAGTAATGTGGCCAGGACCACAGAGTAAGGAAGTGATAAACTGGCATTGGACCCAGGCAGTTTGACTGTAGAACCCACACTCCGGATAATTTGACCTCCTTTGGGAGCAGACAGAGATTAATGATACTGTGGAGGAGCTAGAAAGTCCCAGAATCTACGCTTCAGAGTCTGTTTTCCAAAGATGCTGCCAGTCCTAGGGATAGCATCACAGCTCGCTGCCTAATTAGGCAAATACAAACAAACCCATCACTGATGTTTTCAGCAGCTCATGAGCGCGAAATCCTGCTGCTGATGGCTTGCAAGACAACAAAAACACCAGCTCCAGCCAAGATGCCTGCAGGAGACTAGGGAATAATCACAGGACAGCGGGATTCAAGCCGGGCTGGAGGGTGGGGGCGTGAGCCAGCTGCACCGAGGGTAGCAGCAGCTGGGAGAGGAGTGCATGAAACCCATTGCGGGGAGAGACAGTGTCACTTATCTGGGCTTCCTCCCCAGCCCAGCACAGGGCAGGAAGATGGCAGGAATGGCAAGAACACAGGCATTGCCCACGGGTGGCAGCCAACTGCCCTCTGAACATTTCTAGCCAGGCCAGCACAGTGTAGAGGACAAGGCCTTTTGGTGATGTGAGGGGACAGTGGTAGCCATGAAGGGCTCAGCTATATGGGAAACACCCGCAGAGCATGTTCAGAGTTGTACCAGAGGCTCAAAGTGCCCTCCCTCACTGGCCAGAAACGGGCACTGGTAGCCCCTGGTATAACCAGCCCTAGAGAGCACCGCGCCACCTCTGGGCCGCCCTAAGCTTAGGGAGGCAAAAGGATCTTAGAGTGCACCTAGTCCAATCTTTCACCCAGGACAGACACTATTCTTGTAGCAAAGAGGTGATCATCCAACCTCTGCTTGAATATAGCCAGTGATGAGCACTTCTCTCCTCTCCCTGGCAGCCTACCCAGATCTTTGTTTGGACACCTGAAATAATTAGGGATATTTGAAGCTGCTGCTAATGCTGCCAGGTGCTAGTGCTGTCCTTGGGAGGACATCTGACCCCCACACGTCAAGAGCTTTGGAAATATTTGAAGAGAACACCTCTCTCTCTCTCTCTCCTGCCTCATCTCCTCTTTAAAAGACCCAGTATGTCCAATCCTCTCCTCCCATGATATGTTCTGAAAATTACCACTGCTCTGGTAAATGTCCTGCAGAAAGAGCAGCTGTCTGAGCTGTCAAGGGGTGGTGAAAGCAGAGTGGACTCATGGGAGAGGGAGACCAGGATGGGAGGAAGTGTGTTTGCAGGGGTCCACTTGTAAATCCACGATACAATGGACTGGGGCAAGACCGAGCTCTGGTGAGAGGCAGGATGAGAAATGAATCCTGCCAGGACAAACTAAGAAGGTTTAGGCCCCAATATCCAGGAAAGAGATCAATGGCCCCACCTGGCCAGCTATGACTTAAGTTGGTATTTATATTCAACCCTACACAGCAGTGGAAAAGCTGATTAATGATTTATCATGCTCAAACTTTTATTTATCTATTATTCATTGCCAGTGGTAGAAGGGGCCCCAAATTCCTAAGTGTCCTGAGGATCTCGTAAGTGCTTAATCAGGCCCTGGGGCCCAAGGGTGGGTAGCAGGAGTAACTAGAAAAGGGCCGTTTATGGTTCAAAGTGCCCAGAGGTTCACCAGGGCCTTGATTTCTACTTCCTGCCTATCCTGGAACACAACTTTTCCCCCAAAGTCACTCTTGATTCTTTTCCAAATATGTTTCTTACTTTCCTTCCTTCTCTCTCTTCTTCTGTCTCTTCTGTGCAAATCTCAGGCTGGACTCTCTCCCTCCCCCCTCCTGTTTACCTCCTTATCAAAATGATGCATGTCTACTTAGCAGACCACAGTACTGAGCGCTTTCCAGAGCAATAACCCAGCTAGCTGTATCTGACCACAATTAGCATTTGTGTCTCTTGCCTTTCCTTTCTAATGGTCATCCTAAGCTTAAAACCAACAATAACCACACACACGCGCACACACACACACACACACACACACACGCGCACACACACACACTGCCCCACACCCTGTGAAGCTCTGGCTTTTGCACCATCTATCCTAAGATCAGCATCCTGAGCAGTTGCCTGCTAGGACCTCCCACTGCTGTCCTGTTTGTCCCAAATGTTCCACCATGCTGGGGAGGGACACTTAAATTTTTCTCTTTGCCCTTGCAGATCCAATCATTTTAACCCATGAAGTAAACTGGCACTGCATAGATTAACAGAGATAAAGGCATATAGGTGTATTAAAATGCAGAAACACAGGAGCCATCCACAAAGTATGAAGCTCAAAGGAAGAACCAGATAGTTGAAGCTTAAATAACATTTTGAGCTACAAAAAGAAACAGGGGCTTGAGGCTGCTGGAGGGAGGTGAAGTGGGGCAGCGGAAATGCAACCAGCAGAGGTTGTCTTATTATGCAGCTCCAGCCTCTCAGGTATCAGTCATCGGAAGGCCACCTGAGGACATCTCTGTATGGGCCAGGTGTCAGACCCACAATCTCTCCCTCCTGTGAAAAGATCATTCCTAGGCAGGTGGCAGGATCTGATAGAAAAGCCTCTGCCAGTGTCCCTGTTTACCAGGTGTACATTTCTTTTTGCAAAAGGACAGCCTTTCAGAACCATTCTGGCTGTGGTGTCCATGGCATCCCCAAATAGCCACCTGGAGTTAGGCTAAAGAAGTCAATTAGAGAGGGAGGATTATTTTGCCTCCCTCATCCACCTGCTGTCTCCCACAGGTTACCCCCAGTACCTGGTGGTGGGGAACCATCTGTCGGGGGAGCACCATTTGAAGATCCTGAGGGCGGAGCTGCAAGACGATGCTGTGTATGAGTGCCAGGCCATCCAGGCTGCCATCCGGTCCCGCCCTGCACGTCTCACTGTGCTAGGTAAGAGCCATCGAGGATGCTCTGGGAAACACCAAGGGCTCAGCTCTCGAGTCCTTCCAGCCCGGTTGGAGGAAGGGGCTCCTGCTGGGCATTACCTCACAGGCCACCAGCCACTGTTGCCCCTCTCCCGACCCACAGAGGACAGGAGAAGGCTCCTGGCCTTAGAAATCCCAAGGCCAAGGCCATCTGACCTATGACTGTCCAACCCCAGTCTACATGATTGTGCCTCAGGGAGCTGAGGAGGATTCTTGGGTGTTCTCATGTGATCCATGTGATCAGGGCCAGGTCCAGGCAACAGGGCTAAAGGGAGGAGATGACATGATCTACAAGTCCTTTCTTTCTGAACTAACATCCCCCAGGGTGCTAGCAAATCACCTCTGCCCATGTCCACTGCAAAAGCACCCCAAGCTGATTTCGGTGGCCATGGGAGATTGTCAGTGACCCTTTCTCATCCCTTTTCCTGGGAATCCTGGTTCAAGGATGAGTCCCAGGAAAACCCACTTCAGGCCTCGTTCCAAATCATACTCCCCCCTATCCCGGTCTTTCACTCAGTGTTCCCTCTCTTTCATTCAGCAGATCTGCCTGAGGAATGGGCTTGGTGCCCCCACAACCTGCCCATCTCTGATGAAAAATTCAGCCCCAGTCATCTCCCTCCTCTGGCCAGATGTTCTAGAGGCTCAGGGCCGCGGGGAGGCAGCCTGGCACATGAGTAATAGTAGCTCCACTTGCACAGCAGTTTATGGCCACTGTCAAAGCTCTCTTGCATACATCACCTCAGCTATCCCAAAGCTATTCTGGGAACCAGGTGCTCTGACCCCAGCTGAGAAACTGAGGCTCTGAGAAGAAGAGAGTCTGGCTCAGGGTTTACAGGCTGGGACTTCTCAGAGAGGAGCCTCTGCCAGGCACATATGGGCAGAGCCGGAGCAGCCAGAAGAGGGAAGCCCGGCTGCTGGCCTCCTCTTGGCAGCTGCCGCAGAGGCTTGACGACAGACTGGCAGCTGGGACGCTGCCTCGTGGCCTGTAGATAAGGCTCACGGCTGCTCAGAAATGAAATATTTAAGAGCGTGTCAGGTCCTCTTCAGATCTACATGGCCAAACACCGGGGCAGGCACTTTCACGCAGGGCAACAGATGGGCCCCTCAGGACCACTTACCAGCTCAGAGCTGGATATCTGGAGACAGGGAGGGGTGGCAGGGCCAACTTCCCCAACCTCCTCTACCCCTGGAGTCTCCTGTGGCCTTTAAAGAAAGGGGTGGAAAAATAAACCATCCTGCAGGTCCACAGGCTGGGCGACCTGGCTGCAGGCAGCCTCTGGAGGAGCAGCCAGGGATGCTAAAGGGAAGATAGCTGTTCTCCTTCCTCTGGGAGAATGGCTAAACTGAGAATGGGTCTACAATTTGGGGTAAGGTTGAGGGAGGAGGGAGCAGGACTTAGGTTTGGTTTTGTTTTTTTCTGATTTGGGCATTTGCAAAATGCCAGGACACATTAGCTAAGAAGCATTGTAGGGTCTCTATCTTCAGAGACAATTCAGCCTGCTGCCTCGCCTTCTAGAGAAGGCCAGGAGCACTAGAAAGAGCAGAACCTAAGCACTGACTGCTCTGACCCCACCTGGGATGTAGGACTCATCTCCTCCTTAACATGCGTCAGCCTCGCCTGCTAAGCACGGCCACTTCCTTTCTCTTCTCTATCACGGTAAACCTCAATGCCCAACGCATTAAAAGTCCAAATTCTTCCACATGTTTTACAGATAAGGAAACAGAGACTCAGCGAGGCAAAGACACTTGAAAGAGGTCACACAGTTTAATTAACATTCAAAATTAACTCTACATTTTCCAACTCCAGACCAATGCTCTTTGCCATCTCCTGGTCCCAAATGCCAGAAGAATGGCATCTGTTCCGCTGGTTAAGAGCCAGGCTTCTCAGAGCAGGGCCTCAAGAGCCACCTGAACAGACTCGATTTTGTCTTGGGTCACACCCTCCCTCTGCACTGGCCTGACTTGGCCCTGTTCTCTGGGCCTGGAGCTGGGTTTGTTTGAGGGAGGCATTCCTGCAAGTGTGGAGATAGCTAAAGGAGGGCTGATTATAGAGGGCCTAAAGGGTCCCCTTAGTAGTCTTCCTGAGAGCCAGCAAGGGAGGCTGAGCAGGTGTCTTATCTCTCAGCCTGTCATGCTACCTCCAAAAACACCACTCATCCTGTGAAAATTAAACCCCAGGCCAAAAAAGAGAGAGAGAGGGGGGCTGGGGATTTAGCTCAGCGGCAAAAGCGCCTGCCTGGCAAGGTCATGAGTTCAGTTCCCGGTACTGGAGAAAAACCAAAAAAAAAAAAAAAAAAAGAGAGAGAGAGAGAGACTGAGAGCTGCACTAGGATCTGCCAGCAGCCCTCTCTAACTACTCGGGGCAGACCCTCTTATTCCCACATCTCAGCCATCTACCAGTCCTGTGGGTCCTTCCCTCATTCTGTAGTGCTCTGTCTGGCTGAATTTCTCCAGGGGCAGGGCCCCACCTCCTGCCTTGGAGGAAGGCTTGCAAGCAGAGCCAATCCAGACCACTGGAAAGGAACCCCAGTCCTGCAGCAGTAGAGGATAGAACAGCTGTTCCCCACGGGGGACAGAGGTGTTTGTGCACCCTGGTCCAGCTGCCTTCTTTCCCAACCAAGACCCCATCTGCTTTACTGTGAAATCTCAGCTTGGGAAAATGTCCCAGCCAGGTCCCCAAGGGGGGCTGCCTTCTCCACTTCCAGGAATGAGAGAGCTTCCTAATTTAGTTTGTATTTGCCTGAGATAGATTTTTAATTAAATAAAGTAAGAGCCTGATTAGAACCTGCAGAAGATGTGAGTGCAGAATCAGATGGTATTCCAGCAAAATTGCAAAGCAAATACTTTGGCTGGAACAGAGGGAAGCCCCTGGGGGTCTTCCATCAAAGCACCAAGTGAGGAGGGCAAATACGAGAGATTATATAGCCAACAGATGTGCACTGTTAAAATATGCATCTGCCGGCAGCGTGCTTGGAGAAGCCAGAGGGCCAGTTTGCAGAGTCTGTGGGCTCCAGGGAGAGTATGGGGACCAGCCCGGCAGCCAAGCCTAGAGTCACAGACACATTAATTAGCGTTGTGTTTCCAGCTCTCAGATGCAATCAGGCAAGAAGTAACTTTGAGCTGTGCATTTTCTACCCAGGGAGGCAGAGAGAAGGAGCTAGAGAATGAGGGGAAGATGGGGGAAGGGGCCAGGCCTGCGAAGCTGAGCAGGAAGACAGGGAACTCCAGTCGGCTTCGAGCTGCCAGGTTGACTGGCATTTTTCCACCCACAGAACAACTCAGGAGTGTTGGTATCACAGAAAGAGCTGCACACTTGGAGGCAAGGGTCTTGATCCTACCACTAGCCAGCTGTGTGGTCCTGGTTCCATCACTCATCCTCTCCAGGTCTTAGTTTCCTTGCCTGTAAAATGAGAGAGGATGATTTTTTTTAAAACAATTTTTTAAAAATGTCTAAGAACTGTCCAGCTCCCAAACAGCCATTCTTCCAGTCAGGAGACCAACATGCTACATCAACTATTTCAGGAAAATGGGCCATCTCCCACTGGAACCAAGACGTGTGTGGGGCCTGAGGCATAGAAGGTAATGATTAAAATGGTTTAGACACTGTCTCGCCTGCAGGCTAGGAGATGGGGCCTCTCCAAGTCCTGTCCACCTCTGGGATTCTGGATTTGGCTGTGTAACTTAGCCCCATACCTCCCTCTGTATCCAGTTTCCACGTATACTTAGCCATCTCTGCAGAGACATCCTAGGACCCCCCACCCCATATAGATGTGTGGAGCTATAGGAAATGCCCTGGCTCAGAGGTACAATGCCCTCATGCAGCTATGTGACATTGAATGACCTCATTATATTTGGAACCATTCTCTTGCTTTTAACTTTATAACCAGCATTTGGTACAGAGGAGGTGCTCAATTATGTTTGTTTGGCTTTTTTTTTAAAAAGTGAATGAATGAATGAGTGAATGAGTGAATGCAGTTTCTGGTTTTTCAACTATAAATGAATATACTGAAAATATCAACCTCAGAACTGTAAACACATGTCCATACTCTATAAATAATAAAGTTTTATGCACCTTAAAGCTGTATCCACTTACATGTGTGCACACATGCAGACTGTATGAGTACTTTTCCCATGTGTAGAACCACGGGGCTGAAAAATATGTAACCTGCCACACGGCAAGGATAGCATTGCACTTGATCTCTCTGACTGTCCAAAGACTTAAGAAACAAGGATTTGGGGGACTCTGAGCAGGGAGGAAATACACACCAAGGATTTGCTTAATCAACTGAGAAGCTTCTAAATGTTGGACACTGATCTAGACACACAGGATTCACCAGTAAATGAAAGACAAAACCATCCTTACCCTGACGGAGCTTGTGTTCTAGCAGGGAGTGAGCTACTGGTAAATGATATACAGGTTAAACAAGTAAAGTGTGTCTTTAGGATATCAGTGAATGTAGATTGTTATAGATGCTATGGAAAAGAAAGAGTAGAGCAGCAAGTTAGGGGACAGAAGTTAGGGAAGGAGGTGTCAGATGTCAGATTAATTATTCAAAAGGACATTTTCCCAGTCTTCCTCCCCATTTCCCTCTTCTTCCTGGCCCATTCTAATATTAACTCTGCTATCCTGTGGTTCTTGTTAGAAATAAAGCATTCTAAATCAACATAAATTATTTACAATGGAGACTAAGTCAATTAAAATAAAGAGGACATCTTTTACAGTGATGTCACACCCTGGATCCTGACAGGGGCAAACACATAATTCTGACCCGCCTGGGTCCTGAACTTGCTCTCCAAAGCCCACAGGATGGACAGCACATCCCGGTGTCCACTCCCAGTAGTCTAGGCTGAAGGGCACAGAGAGGAGCACTGAATAATTCAGGCACATCCAGCAAGGAAATGCAGAGCTGAAACAGAGCCAGAGGATGCCAGCGTCCAAATGGTTCTTGCAGAAACTCACCACCC